CGTGCTGCAAGCAGCTTGGGAACCGCGCTAGAGGTTTGCAAAGCTACATTTGCTTGGGGCTGGAAAAGAAACAAGACGGAATTCACTGCCAGTGGTGCTTAAGGCGCTCAGCAGCGGTAAGTTTGGTGTCCATCTTGCTCGCCAGACATCGCCAGCCGGAGACACAAGGCCGTAGCAAGTGCTGCAATCTAGCGCCGGAATATGTGGGCAGCAATCTGCGTTGGCAAAATGCATTACTTGCTAACTGCACGATATGATGTTTAGCTATGGTTGCATTGCTCGAACTGATAAAATTAGCTAAAGGATTATCGGTGTACAGACGGGACCACAACATTGCCAGTCCTGTGAAGATACGGGCGCCGGGCGGATGAGCGCATCTCCACACAGGCAGATGTCTGGCTTGACATGATGCTGCAGGTGCTGGCACTGAAAGCTTGAACACAAGGGTGCTACATTAAGCGGACAGTGCAGCTAAGGAAATGCACAAACGCAACAGCCCTAGGCAACATTGACAGACAGAGGAGACACGTGCGCCTGGCGGATGGTACACTGAATCTGGGACCCAGCTGAGGGAGTCGATGTCTCTGCAGCCTTGGAAAAGTGGACAGGAGTAGGACAGGAGACCGCGCAGGACCCAGCCTTCAGAAGGAGGGCCGGAGCCAGTCAGCCTGCCAGGTGGAGTCCAGAAACGGAACTGCTGGTGCAAGCAAGGTCCCCGCCTGGTAGGCGAAGCAAAACGAGTGGATTGTTGAATATTGTTGAGAAGTTGAAACGTGATTGAGTTGAGTTGAGTTGATACTAATTGGTTGAGAAGGATTGTGCGCAGGATTGCGCAAGAAACATGCTGAAGAGTTGCGATCTCCTTGGCCAAGCGATGATATGTGATTGAAAGAGGGGCCCATTGCATTCAGGTGCAGCTGCGCGCCGTAAGCATCTGAACATGGGAAATTGCCAGTTGTCCTCAGTACGAGTGCTTCAAAGTAGCATTGTAGACGTCTTGGTTGAACTGTACGCAGTTTGTCTTCCTTCTTTTCAATTACCGGCAAATTCTGAATTAATGAAGAGTGAATTGGCGTCTGGTTGATGCTGAGAAGTGCATGCAGCATCTTTTTTCAGTTACTCTTTGCAGTTGAATCATGAGGATGAATCAGGTATTGCTTTGACGATTGATTGATGTGCGTTTGAGCTTTGTGCGTGATTTGATGTTGTCTTGGCGTGATTGATTGGTTGAAGGTTTGATGAAGCTTGTTGTTTTGTCCAGATTGCTATGTTTTTCTTCATTGCTGTTGAGTTGATTTCAGTACGCCGGTTGACCAGGTTGACTGCCAGGAGATGGATTTGAGGATTGACCTCAACAAGCTGAAAGATTGAACTCAATGGAGTTTGCATGTTTCGTGCTTTGATTGACATGTACCCGTTTAGCTAGTTTGCCTGTCGTGGTATGATTGATCTTGGTGACTTGCTTGATTGATTTGAAGTTTGAATGCAGGTGGAGATTGTCACAGGTGAATTTGAGACATATGGACATTCTGCTTGTGCATTGAACCTGGTGGATTGATGAGGCGCAAGACTGGTGAGCTGCGGAGATTGAGTTGGCCTGCTTTGCTATTGGACTGCAAGAGTCCATTCATCATTGGAGCAGAATGCTCCACGCCACCACGTTGCCACGTGCGAAACACAACGAGAGCGTTGGCAGTTCCAAACCGAATTCGCAAGACGCTCCACGCGCCAGCGCGGGCACTTGTTAAAAACCGCGATAGGGTTCGCAGTCCATGTCGAAAATTCGCACGGCGCCACAATGAGAGTGCTTCGCGCCACGCACGAAACCCGCAACGGGTTCGCCGGATGACGTTGAGTGGCAGCGAGAGCGATTCGACACTTGCGAAACCCGCAGAGCTTTCGGCAGCGACATTGAAAATTCGCACGGGGGGCCAAAGCGAGAGCGATCTCATACGCGTGAAGCCCGCAGAGGGTTCGCCGGCGATGTTGAAAATTCGCACGGCGCTACAGCGAGAGCGATTCGACATATACGAAACCTGCAGAGGGTTCGCCGTTCAGTTTGAAAGTTCGAGCGGCGCCGCAACGACGAGAGCGCTCCAACGCGCATGAAGCCTGCAGAGGGTTCGCTGTGCCTCGACGCGCCAAACCTACCCCGGCTGTAGAAACAAGTGAAAATAGAAGGCGTTGAGCGGTGTAGGTGCCGTGGTGTAGGTATAAACTGTAGGTGTAGACCGTGGCGCGGTGTGTGTCAACGCTATACTTTAGACATCCTGACATGTAAGCGTGTGCTCGCTCATGTACTGGAAAGGCAAGGGATGCGGACGACGAGACCTTGGAGCCGGAAGAAGATGACCCAAATGTTGCCGACGTTCCCAGATCGATGCAGCGAAGTCTCCTGGACGACCGGCTGGCAAGACGCAGGCTCTTCATGGTTGGGGCAGATGGGGTTGCTGGGCTGCTGCAGCTTTCGCAGGACTTCGCCTGCAACATGCTTTATTTTGTGTGCTCATGCCATCTAGCATGGATGACGTCGGAGGCGACCACCGTTGGCACAAACACAGCTTACTCTACTTACGTTACGCAGCAAAGCACCGACGATGCAACATGGAGCTTGATACGCAGCGTGAATTTCATGGAGCATGACTAGCCCGAAAGGCAGCCGAGGCTTTGCCGTTTTGTGGCAGGATTTATTAGTTGTTGTGGTGCGGCCACCAATGGCACCATGCACGAGCAGGCGTTGGCGTATGAACACCAATTGGATACATTGGTCGATGGTGGCATTGACCGCTTACTGAATGAGTCAGGAAGTGATTTGCAATCGTGCAAGGCGGTGTTGGCCGCCGTGGAGCATTATCTTAGCGCGCCCAGGTGCAGCAATATGCCATCACTTTTAGAGTCACTGTTGCCAACAATGAAACCAGCGTGTCAGAATGAGTTCTGGATGCACACACTTTGTTGAGGTATTCGAATTCGGCATTGTTGGAGATGCAGCGACATCGATGACGTGTAGGAAGCTATGTGCGGTGCAGCTGGTTGTGAAAATTGTCCCTTCAAGTCCGTTGGTTGGGTTTAAGTTGGGACGTGGTTTACGTTGAGTGGAAGAAGATGGCGGGCTATCCTAAGAAATCGTTGCGGGAGGAGATAAGGAGATAGGGAGAGGGAGAGGCAGACAGCGCGAGCGTGAGACGAGGACTTTGCGACTTAGGTGCCGCTTCACTTGAGTTGTGTTGCAATGCAGGTTGGTTCTTGTTGGGCCAAAAACACAGCGTGGGAGCTAACCGCTAGATGGACCCATTTTGCACTCCATCATGGGCGGCTTCCTGGAGGGCGCCGCCTGTTTATGAACGGCAGCAGTCCGTAGGTGTGCATGGTGACAAGATTGCAATCCTGCATGTTTGTTTCCACAAGTTTTCGTATCCACGTAACAAGTATTTGTTGCGCCAAGTAACTTTACCTGCAAAGTCAGCGGTCTAGTTTTATCCGGCTACAATTGGCTTTGCTGGGTCGCAACTTGCAAGAAGTTGTTTGTGGTGATTTGCGTTGTGCATGCATGGCCAGACAAGCCACAAGCTATTGATGAATCCCAGTCGTGCCTAGTCTTAGGTCTACAGCTTCTACATGCGGCGCGACGAATGCATCAAGCCAACTGTTGGGAATTGAGCCATGGTCGTTATTATTGACATGAATAGCTTTCGCCCAGCTTTCATCACCGGAGTGCTTGGGTTCAGGGTCTCAGGGGATAGGTTGTGGTTGCACCCCTGTACGCTTTTATCAACTCCCAAGTTTTGTTCATCTGCTTATACCAAGCCATTAGGGTGTTAAGCTGCAAATCCCATCGCCCCGTAGGGCTGTGGAATGTTAAGCCCTGAGTCCCTAAACCGCCTAAACGTTTTTTGGGGTGTTGAGCCCTTCATGGCTGCCTTTTGCTGCGTTCGTTCGGCGTCCACCTCATCACTGCCCTTTTTGCGGCGCCTTGCTACAGTGAACGTTGTCACTGGGGCCTTACTTGGGTTTGGGGTGAAAATGTTGACAGACTGGATTCAGGGTTAAAGGCCTACTTGGAAAGCCCAGATACCCTCCAGATGCTTTAGGTTGTAGATGTCTACTAATAATGGGGTTGTAGTTGCCGCAACCTTCTAACAAGGATTTTATCAAAAAAATCATATGGCGGTATAAGGTTCCAATCCTAGGGGCAAAGTAACTAGAATCCTTTTCGTACCATAGGATGGATTGATGGACATTTTTTTTGCATGGTATGGTAGCTATAGCATCACGCCAAATGGCCGTAGGTGAATTTACAACTTTTTTTTCATGACAATAATGTTGGTCATCGAAGAAGTTGAAGCGGACACCTGAAGTGCATTCAAAATTCAGTATTATAACTACGGCATTGTCGCAACATGGTCTTGATGGTCTTACGTGACCACCCCGATCTGAACTATGCTTACTGGCTTACTGGTGTTACGTACTGGAAACCGGGGAGTGGATGCCTTGTTTTTTAAATGTTTGTCTTCAACATCAGTAGGTAAGTGTATATTTGTTGTTGTTTTTTTTGGAAAAGCATCTCTGAATTTCAAGGTTCCGGTTTTGTTTTTTGCGTGTAACCAGAGTCCGGAAAGTTTTGCGTTGGCTTACATCCTTGCCGTTTTTTGGGTCGATCGTTTGAATTTTGCAGGCAGCTGGGACCTGCATGTTGCAGGTGAGACGATTGTGCGAAACACGGGTGTGCAGTTGAACAGCAACTTTCATCAGCTTTTAATTCAACTGTATGCCCACGCCCGGCTGCGATATCCCCAGCGAAGAAATTTAAGGATTGGGTATCATAGGATTTATGGTATTCATTAAATTCCCCACAAGGCGCCAAATAGTTTTTTGGGGGAAGTCTCCATGGCCAAGCCCGCAGCTTAAACCCTAGACTCTATAAGCCAAACCCTATAAACCCTGTAAAACCAAATAGACCGAATAAACGACATAAACCCTAACACCATGTTTGAACCAAGGCCAGATATCCCATTCGAGAGCCTGGCTCCACAGGTGGATGTAGAAAGCAGGATTTAGCCTTTCGGGTTTGGGATGTTGGGATTAGGGGTTACGGGTTTTAGGTATTAGAGTTGAAGATTTAAATTTAGAAGTTTAAGATTTAGAGTTTTTTTTTTTTTTGGTTGTGGAGTTTGAACGATTTGTGGCTCCTAACATCGGAGGGTATAGGGTTTAGGGCTTGAAGGCGTTGATCGGTGCCGTGCATGGTCAGCAAAGGGTCTAGGGTCGAGGGTTGCTAAACCATCCACTCGTTAGTTGCGAGTTTCTGGCCATAGGTTGGTTTGCAAGGAAATCAAACCTTTTCACACCGAGCAAGACATTTGCCATCTCAAACCATAAGCCCTGAACTCTAAAGGAAGAATATTGCCCAGACCTCCCAAGTACCTGTGACCGGTGTTCATGTCTGGAGTAGTGGGTATACAGGCTACCTTTATGGCTTTGAGAAGTCTAAGCCTAGGCCTTCATAACCCGGCTGTTCCTGCGCTCAAACTAGCTGAAGTAATCCCAGAGAACGAAACTTTAGTCTATCATTCCCACTTGCTGCCCAGTCCCCAAAGCTACTCTGAGCCCTTACAGACGAGTCACCAGAACAGAGCAGGATAAAGCCAGACAGCTATGCCGCCAGGATATCAAGAGCTTGTATCTCGAAGCCGCCATTGCATTGCTTCATCTGGTTATTGCCAGCTTGATGACTTCGTTCCACCGCAGGATGCTGGACGGCATTTAAGGCAACAAAGTCGTGCAAGAAGAGCGAGAAACAGCGGTCATTGTAGTATCGGAAGCCCATATTCAAGGTTCTATGTGCGCATTCCCTCTTCGCATTTCCCGTGCAACGCAGTGCCGCGTAAGCGCAATGCCCAGTGCCGTGTACGCCCGCTTCGCATACGCTGCGGCAGCAATATGCCCCTCAATGATCGATTTCAGGAACTTTTGTCACTACCATATGGCTTTGAATGTTATCAGCCTTGTTTCCGGGACATGGAATACTCTTGACAGTATGGACCTGTTGGGTCTCCTTCTTCCTGTGAACTCATGGCGCATTGTAGCTCGTATGCAAGCAGGGTCTTACTTGAGAAGCTTCCTAAGTCTTAAGCCTCAGACCTTGAACCCAAGACCTTAAACCCTTTGATGATTATTTCCCAGGCCTCCAGCCAAAGTCTAAGTTTGTTGGTACTTTCCGCCTTTTTGGCCTCTACAATGGATTGAGGAAATCTTGCAGCCCCAACGTATTGTAATTAAGGTTATTGAGGAAAGGGACAAAAGTATCTATAATGATGTAGGGCTTAGGTCGGGTTTCTTTGGGGATTCGAGAGGGACTCGAGGGATCCCAGTCTATAGATGATACCAACTTGAGCTTCACAGTGCATGAAATGTTGGCGATATGGGCTTTTTCCGAGCCCTTTTCTTGTTTCAAATTCGGTTTAAATGCTAGAGTTAGAAGTATGGGCGTACTTTTGAGTTTGGGTGGATGGGGCTCGCCACCAAACCCAAACCCCTAACCCCTGCCCAAGCTCCTTCCTGAACCTCCCAAATGACCCGCTCGAAAGTCCCTGTACCCATTATTTTGGAGTTAGGGTAGGCTATGCTTCAGTAGTAGCCTCCATTTTTCCCTAAACCCTAAACCCTAAACCTCAACATCCCCAAGATCCCAAGCTCCTCAGCCTGGAAGCCACTAGCTAATGAGGTGGTTCGCAGCATGTGCGCGGAGGCTGAGGCGCTGAGGAACCGAAGCCTCTCAGCCTAAAAGCGTTAGGAAGTTTAGGGTCTTGAGTTTCGGTTTTCGAGTTGAGGGTTTAAGGACTTCAGGTTGAGGATTTATGGTTCAGGATTTAGGGGCTTAGGGCCCCGAGAATCTAAAGCTGTCTTGGGAGAGGATGCAAGGCACAGTTCTGAGAACCTACCATGTAGTGGTATGTAGAGATAGGATATATGGGTGTTGTATATGCCTTGTGTTAGATGTTGGGATAGCATGGGAAGTATTCTCCTCTAAACTAACACGGAGCCCCATTGAACAAGACAGTAGCCTGATAGAAATTGTTGTGAGCGTTCCGCATGAGTTTGGGTGCGGAAACGGTGCAGGGTGAAAGGGTTTACTTAAGGCGTGCAGGGCTTGGGTCGGATGGTTTATTTTGGAGTTCAGGGTCTAGTGGAGTATTTCGTGGGATCCAGGGATACGGGGCTGAGGGTTCAGGCTTTAACCGCTTCGGTGCAACAACTTGCCTGATGTAACTTGATAGGAGAAGGCACAGTTTTGCATCCGGGATGTTGCCTCCAGAAGTCTGTATGACTTTCCAAGATTATAGGAGGTATGTTTCGAGATCTTCCTTCAAACGGTACGTATGTGTCATAAACCCCAGATCGCAAAGCCTAGACTCCTCAAGAGTGAGCCCCACTCCCTTAATTGGAACCGTAATAGTTTGCTAGGCAGAAAGAAGCGCAATGTATCAAGCAGTTGTTCCCCAGAGCTGTTGCGATAGGTTTCCATCCTACTGGTGAAGCCTTCCCTATAGATTGGGTACTGCCCCAGGGGTGGGTCCTATTAAGGGCTATATATAACCATATTATAATTATTATCCAACTGTTACTGAGGGGGGGCAGTACCCAACCTAAGAGCCAAGCCCGTAAACTCCCAAACCCAGTTGACATTTAATTGTCCATGTTCTTTTCCATTTGGTTCTGCATTTATGGGGTTACATAGCCTCTGTGAAGCCTTAAACCCCTATATAAACCTATGAAGCCTTAAACCCTAGATCCAGTATAACCTATATAAACCCCATGAAGCCTTAAACCTTAAATCCTGTACAACCCTATATAAACACTAGGAAGCCTTGAACCCTAAATCCTGTATAACTCTTTATAAACCCTCTGAAGCCCCAAACCCTACACCCCGTATAACCCTAGATCAACCCTCTGATGCCTTAAGCCCTAATCCTGTATAACCTTATATAGACCCCGCTCTCAGGTCTAGGTTTTACCAACACCAACATACACAACCTGCTTCTGGAGACTGAAATTGATTCTCGAGAAGGCTGGGACTTAGGCTTGTCTCATTGGGCTGTCAGCGGGGAACTGGAGGAATGGATTCGTAAAGTAGCCTCTATATAACAACACCTAATGATATTGTAGTCTCTCTTTCTTTGCCACCATTTCGTTTCCTGAAGACAATTGGCAAGTTTTGGGTTTGGTGTGCAGGGCTGGGGGTTGATGGTCTAGGCCGCAGGGCTTGGGGTTCAAGACTTCCTGCAAACAGCGAGTACAGAGAGTATCTATGGATACCCTAAACCCTAAACCCTAAGCCCCTAAACCCGGATGATTGAGAACTTTAAGGTGCTGACAAGCTCTTATAATGAAGGAAGTCACACGGTAATGCTCCCTTATCCTCTAGTGGGGGTCCGTATTGCAAAAAACCGATCCTTCGTCCCTAGACCCTAAACCAACACTCAACTCTAAACCCTGCATGGACCCTGAACAGTAGAGCCTAGGCGCGCCCCAAACCTCCAGGCCTAAATCCTTAGCCCTAGAACATAAACCCCAAACCCGTAGTCACAAGACCATTGGAGACGTAGCTCATTGAGGCGCGAGGTCTGCAATGGCGGGCTGGGTGTCCTTTAAGTTAGGATTTAGGCGCTAGGGTTTAGGATGTTATTGGTAGATATTTGGCAAGCTTTGGGCTTCTGTTTCTGGTGTATATCACGCCATACTCATCTTGAACCCTGGACATGTTTGAACTGAGCAGGTTTTATATGTAGTCAACAGATTTAGCCAGAAGCTTACAAGCGGTTGGTAAGTTCTGCAACGAGACAAGCAAGCACGACAAGTCATAGAAGCCACTGCAGGGACGCGAATCCTAAGCCCTAAGCATTCAATCCGAGACGCTACCATTGGAGCCCCAGATCCTAATTAGTCAAGGGTTTACTTGTGGGTCGATTTGTGTTTATAACCCTTCTAAGCCACATCGAATGTTTCCAGTTAGGCTTTTAAACCTCTATGCACAGCCCAAGTTCCCCTGACACTCCGAATAGGCTTTAGGCTTCAGGCTCACAGTGGTAAAGGAGGCATTGGATCACAGACAAGCCAAGCCAAATGCAGTTTCAAGGGTTTCAGAGTTTAGGGTTTTTGCATATTCTTCCTGGATCTGGATCTAGAGTTCAGGGTGTGAGGACGTGATTTGGTGATTGCCTGGGGCAGGGTTCCTGTTGCCTTCCTTGAAGTCCAGAGTTTAGGACAGATATTGAAAATGGCACCGCAAAAACCGATGCAACAAACGCACTTAACCCCATGACCCTCACACTAAACTGAAACCCTTAAGCCTTAAGCTTACGCTGGAAATCGTTTGTACTCGAAAACTTAGGCCCAAGCCTTCAGCCTACGCCTCAAGCCCATTCTTGGGGGTTGTTTGGAGAAAAGGGTTGCTTGCTAATCCCACCCCCTATAAGAATGACCTAAAATTTGAATTCCATTTTTTAGTATAGTGTCCTTTTTTTGGGGGGGCCCTAAACCCTAAACCAATTTTTTTTAGGGGGCCCAGGGTTAGCAACATTCTCGCATCATGTTCGCGAAGGATCCCCGCGGTCCCAAATCTTTCACAGCCGCGCCCAGCTCCTCTTTGGGTAAGACTTTCTGAGTTGTTGTGAATAGGGTTTAGGGTTTAGGGTCAAGGAGCTTCAGGTCACACACGGTATGAATTCCCTAGACATTCCTCTATAAACTCGGTTTGTGTACTTCCTAAATCCTGAACATTAACTTACAGCAACCCACTTTGAGGTGTGGGGATAAGACTGTGACAGGTTCGGGGTGGGTGTTCAGGATGGTGTTCCCTAAATCAGAAACCCAACACCCTCAATCTTAATGTAGACCCCTAATCCATAAACCCGCTCCCCTTAACGGAGATTATAATAGGGATCCTAATGTTAACATCCTTAAAAGGAGGGGGTGTATTAATCAGGAGTCTACATAGGAGTTTAGGGTTTGCCATGCATCTTCTACCCTACCCTACATGTATCCTAAGCTCTAGACTCTAGACCCCGAACCCAGGATAGCCAAATCACACGTGTGGATGTAGCCTAGTTTATGCCGTGTTCGGGCACTCTTGGCCCTTGTAAATGGGCTCTAGGTACAATTAAAGCTAGGTAAGAAGTACTTTGAACCTCCAGGCAGGGGGACCTTGAATGAATGGAAGCAAACCCCTCGTTCACGTGAATACCCCCTCGCAAGGAGGATTTCTCAGAGGGTCTATTTGAGGACCCTTAGGAATCTACCCTAAACCCCTGAGGGTTTGTAATTTAGACATAACTCTTCAGTCTCAGGCCTCTCAGAGATTTGCATCTTCCGTAAACCTTAGGCCCTGAACTCCCCAAACCCGAAACCCACTCTGCGCACCTCAGTTTGTAGAATCTAGATCCCCCCCGAAACACAAACCTCTTAAACCCCTCAAACCCCTATCCCTCAAACCCCCTGAAATCCTCAAGCATTGAACTCCAGAAGCCTAATGGTTGCATTTGGCCAAATATGAATGATGAGCCTTGATATCAGCCTTCTTTCAAAGGACGGCGGGCTTCAGGGTGCCTCTTGTGGGGTTCCGGATTTTTTCGATAGAGTGTGTGTGTGTGTGTGTGTTCAAAAACTCAAAGCCGCAAGGCAAGACGTTAGTTGCAATGAGCCACCTGCCGACCAACAGCCCACTGCGAGATTCTTGCCAAGGTATGATTTACACATTTGTCAGGGTGTTAGTTTCTGGCACATACACTTGCTGGGGAATGTGACATGATGTGTCCTTCAGGGGGACTGTAAGTAGAAATTTTACCACCCATTGTGACCTTTTGTCGTTGAATGTTTGATGGTACTGGCCAACAGTTCTGCGATTTGCAGGCTGCATGTCAAATTGCGGTTGAAATCGGCGTTAAGTATACGTATAAAGTTCGTGTAAGACTCCTAGTACAAAGAGTATGACGTTGCGGCTCTAGTTGGCTGCGATTAGGTTGCGAACCATCTGTGTTTTGGTTGACATGGGGGGGAGTGATTACCTAAACTTCTCGACGAAGAAGCGTGGCTATCTAACATTAAGAAGACCAAGAAGTTTGTAGCTTGCAAGCAACTTCCAAGTGACAGGAGCAAACAGTCCTGTAGCCCAAATTCCATATGGGCCATAGTCTAAACTAAACTCCTCATATCGCCCCTTAATAGCCCCTAATATACTCCCCTCTATTTTCCCCTGTGTAATTCCCTTTTAGGAGTTTAGACTCTAGCTCATATGGTAGTTTCCCAAAATCAGGGTACCCCATTACAGACCCCAAGATACTATAGTCCTTATCATGGGGACCCACACTAAGGTATCCTGATTTTGGGAAACTCCCACATCTAAGCCAAGGAGTTTTAACCCTAAAGCTTAACCCCTAAACCCTTAAACCCTAAACCCTAGACCCTAGACTCTAAATCCTAAACCCTAAGCCCTAAGCCCTAAACCCTAAACCCTAAACCCTTCAACAAAAACCTTAAACCCTAAACCCTAAACCCTTAAAACAAAAACCTTAAACCTTAAACCCTAAACCCTAAACCCTTAAAAAACCTTAAACCCTAAACCCTAAACCCAATACTTAGTCCCCTATCTGAGCCAAGGACCTTTATGCTGACACTTCGGTGCGTGAGCTGGTGCGGGAGTCTGGGTTGCTGTTAAGGAACCTAAATTAAGTCACAATTGGGGTTTAGGGTTTTGGTTTAGGGTTTGGGGTTTAGGGTTTAGTTTGTGTATATATAGAAATACATATAGTGAACAATAGGTTTTCCCCAATATAGTAACTTAAATTTAGTTACCACAGTGGGTATTTATAGTAAATAATAGAGTTTCCCAAAAATAGTAACTTAAATTAAGTTCCTTAATAGCAACCCAGGAGTGCTTTGGACTGCCTCAGCTCAGCTGCTCTGCCGACCCGCACGGGGGCGTGTACCTCGCTTTTGGGATCCCCTTTTACACAATGATTTTTTTAATGTTATGAAATACTTTAGTATATTATGCTGTACTATACTCTGATATGGTATAGTCTGATATGCTATAGTAGAATACACTATAGTATAATATTATATGCCACACTACATTATAGTTTTGGGGGCGGGGTACGGCGAGTCAGTACACAATGCCCAGACACTGACCTGCCTCTGGTCAGCAGGGAATGATGGACTGGGTAGTGAGTGTGTCAGGGTGTATTCTGGAGAAAAAAGTGCGCGGTTTCTTTAAGGGGGTCATATCCAAATCTTGAAATTCAAACCCCTAAGCCTTAAACCTAAACATTGGCTCCAATATTGCATTCCATGCGAGGAAGAGGCTTAGTGCTTGAGGTTTAGAGTTTAGGGTATGGAGTTAGGGTATGGGGTTGGGGTTTGGAGTTTGGGGTTCATGTTTCTCTTTGTTGTGGGTGAGTGCGTCCCGCAATAAGCAAAAGGACCCCCGGCAGTTGCGAAACCATGCCTACAAGAAAGCCCATGTTTGTTGAGTACGCCCGCACATCCCCAGACCTTCGCCAAACCCTAAAAACTAAAACATTTGCCCCCCGCCTACTCTACAAACCTTGAGTTCTGCGAGCGTTCAAGCTTAGGTATTACAACTTCTTCGATCAGGGTGATGCTCTTGGGTGGCACTGCGACCGTTTCTGAGCTCATGTTACTTGTAAGCGGTGAGGATTTGCAGTGCTTCCCATGGATGACATCCATTTTTTTTCCAGGCTCATGCAGGGGAAGCACTACCTAAGAGAAGTGCGCATACGATTGTTGTAGACCCCCTCTGGGTTTGCTTTCTTAAAGGAGGGTGCAAAACTGGAGAGGGCTTGATGGCTGGCTGCTCCCAAAAGGTCGAGCATGGTGGGCATTTGGTTTGTTTTGTATGTCGCTGGAAAAGGAATATCAGGATAAAGATAACTCGCGCTAGATACATTTTTTCGAGGGCCCGGTGCTTCGGCCAGTTTTTGCCCCAGGAGTAGGGTAAGGTAATGGTTTTTAAGTTTGGACCACACTTTGGAGGACACTGGAGGAAGAACTCCTTCTCACGGTTTAGTACCAGGGTAAGTAAAAACCCCAAAGTCTAAACCCGGACCTTAAATCCTGATCTGGGATTAGATTACCCAATTACAGGCTCCCTCTTTAGGGTTTAGGGTTAAGGTTATTTAAGGTTTACGGAATCCGAACCTTCAAATCCTGCAATTGCGGATCCCTGAGATCAATGCCCAAAGCACGCAACCTGAGCTGCAAATCTTGGCATTGTCCAGACCCAGGGCACAGAAACCCTCAATCTCTTTAGTCTGTACGTGAACCTTAAACCACAAACGCAAATACAGGATCATGCAGGGTATTGTCCGTCATCATTGTGTTGCCCGAGCCTCTCAGCCCCGAATTTGCCCGAGGCTTCTCGAATTTTCATTATCACTTTGGAATATCTGGAAGGTTACGGAGGGTTATCAAAACCCACAACCCCTAAGACTACGGTCCGTTTTCGGGTGCTGCAAATACTAGCGGGGGGGGGGATTTCACAGTGGCCACACGCGTGATAATTCCACATCTGAGGTAGGTCTTAGGGTTTAGGGATTAGTGTACTTTCCATGAAAATATCCTATATGGCCCCTGTGCATACATATATATATATACATACATACACATTCCCTTCATTCCCTACTAGAACCCCAATATGTGCCCCATGAAACCAATGGAGGTTCCATTTTCTTTCCATTATCCCTACTTTATTCCCTACAATGCTAACCACCATATATATGTACATATATACATATAGAATTACATATATATATATACACCCTATTCTAATATAGGAGTTTCCCTTTTCTTCTGCATTATCCCTATAGTACCGCTTGGAAAGCCAACGACCCAGGCTTTTGTCCCTAAACCCTGAAGAAAATGGAAACTACTATGTTATAATAGGGTTTTTCATATATACATCGTAGCGTTATATATATATATGTATATTTTGGTAGGGTTATATATAGATATATAAGGAGCGTAGTTATGATAGGGAATAAGGGCTATATATTACATACCTATTGGGCCCTGAAGCGGCCCATGTCTTGGGGTAACTGGACTTTTCAGGTGAGTTTTGGCTGCGCTCTTAACCGTACCCTCCTCCCGTTTGGAGTTCAGGGTATAGGGTTTAGGGTTTAGGATCTAGGGTTAGTTTGGGGGAATAGAAAGCATTCCGCCGCAGCTAGGCTCCCAGTTCTCAGTGAACCTGATCTTGCAGACCTCAGAGGGTGGAGACTTCGAGTATGTGCCCCAGTCTCGGCCCCTAGGCTCTGAGTAAGTGGAATGATGCAGGGATTTAGGGGGAAAGGCCGGGAATGGGTTGTGATGGCGGCTTTGGATTGTGCGGTTTCTTAGGATCTCTATGGAGTTCTGACTCGAAGCTTGCAAGCATTGTCGTAGGATTCCTCATGGGGGTCATCGCTGGGCATTCCACCTTTTGAGATAGGACGTCTTGCGTTTTTTTTTGGTGAACAGTTGGTAGCGGGGTACTGGATGCTCCCAAATCGGAATTCAATGCATTCATCACGAAAATGGGGACTATGACCCTGACCCCTATTCCCTAACTCCAATACTCCTTTGTAGGTTCTTATGTTTTTGTGCTGTCATGGAGAAATGTGAAGGGGACGTGCAGTGGATGATGTGTCTTGCACTGAGTGGGTGCTCGGACCAACTCATTTCATGGGATTTAGGGTTTTAGGGTGCTGTAGAATTTCTTACATGAAGAGTAGCTCATGGGCATTACATAGGACCTTAAACCTTGAACCCTAAACCCTGAACTGTGGTTCAACATTTGGTCTTGACATAGCAAATGGGTTTAGGGTTTAGGGTTTGTGATACTTGATTTGCCGTAAGCCGTACATGTAGTTCTCCTTTAGCAAGTGGAACATGGGGTATATGGGGATCTTATTAGGATGTTGGTATATTAGTGAATGGAACGTCCGTTCCATCTACCATACGTTTGGTTACCATGCTTCTACCCTGAAACATAAAACATGTTGATCCAGTTCGTCCACCGCCACACCTGGTCTTCGATAGCTTTTGCCATAAACTTCAGGCCCTTCTGGTGGAAAGCTCGAAACCCCAAAAATCCCAGCTGAAAGCACTGGAGCTTTTTGTGGATTGGATTTACTGTAATTCGGGCTTCAGGGTTAAGGATTAAGGGTAAAGGGTTTGGAGTTTATGGGTTCCGTGCGAGACTTCCGGCTGAATCCTCGATACCCACGTGGGTCTTACGCAAAGCTCATTTACATGGGATTTCCCAAAACTTGGGCGAAATATTAGGCCCCACTTTCTGACCCAATAGAAAACTATATCTGTTATAGTAGGGACCCATCAAAGTTTGCCTTTTTTGTGGACACACCCCCACATGGATGTTTCCAAACAACGGGGTCCCTTCTTCTGAGTATTCGAGATGAGGTTGGTTTGTTTCAGAGCCTGCCAGACTGAACCCCTTGTGGTTAATGCCCGAATCTGTCCTATGTCGTCCCGGGTTGCCACAACAACGAGGAGCCTAATTAAAGGCTCTCGTATGAAGATTCGTGGCCCTGTGCTTTTCCGTTGAACCTAAACCCTGCTCCCCCACCTCACATCATCAGCCTGAAGCCCTAAACCGTGACATCTTCAAGCTCTGAAGCTTAAACTTGAAGGCACAAGGGCCTAAGGTTTGGGGTTTAATGACGCGGTTTAGGGGTTTAGGGTTTAAGGCTAAGGGGAATAGACCTATCCGAATGGGGGAGTTTCTCCTCTAGGCTTTTGGCTTAGTGCTTAGTGTGTAGGTTGGGTACTGCCCCCACCCAGTAACAGTCTATATTAGGGGTCCTATTAAGGGCTATATATAACCCTGTTATACTTATTATCCAACCGTTACTGAGGGGGGGCAGTACCCAAGGTGTAGGGCTTCGGGTTGGTGCTTAGACATAAGCACATCAGTCCGAAGAAAGCCGAATGAAGTCTGTTGCAGCGAGTCCTCACCGTGAAGCCCAGGTACCTTGTTGATGAAATGCAGTCCTGGGCAGACATGGAGCGAGATCTGCAAAGGAAGAAGAGTCCAAGCTCAAAAGCGGCATTTTTGTAACTACTCTGGATAGAATGAGAATGCCATAGATGCCAAAACCGTAAAGCCTAAACCGTGAGCCCTAAATCTGAAACCTTAAATCCGAAACTCTAAATCCCAAACCCTAAATCCTGAACCTCCTCTCAATTTGGAGAGGTGCTTTGTGAATCTTTAGAGGGCGATTGCGCTCCCACTCGGAAAGGCCACTAGGACTTCCTAGTTGCTTCTGCAAGGATTGTACCAAAGCTGAAGTCTGGCAGCATCTACCTCTTTGCTGGGAATGCTTCTTTCCATCAAGTCTCACCGGTGACGTCCGGCACGCGAATCAACGCAATCCTGACCTACAATCTAGAGGACGCAAGGGGTTTCTCAAAGGCTTTGCTTCTCCCCCGCGCATCATTACACATGAGGGATTTTGGTGGATTTACACGCGCACCAGTGGTAAACAAGAGTAATAAGGATAACACAGGGATCTCCTTCCCCCAGTGCTATACCTCAAGCCTCAAATCCTACACCCTAAGCTGCACTCTTTAAATCAATATTTTCTTTTGGAGCTGCAACCGCAAGTACACCTTGTGGGCCGGTAGGATCCATATGCAGGTCCTGTGTTCCTTTTTTTGGAGCATTTCCAAGAAAAACTAGGGGTTCTTCCTTGGGAGTTCTTACTAGGTGATAAAGATTATAGTAATGGGGCCATGCAATGGATCCTGTTCGGCAACGCCCGTAAGAACTATAGTCAAATTCCCTAAAGGGGTTATATAGGGGGTACATGGGGGAGTATTATACGGCTTACTAAGGGGTATACCAGGAGTTTAGACCTTAAACCCTAAACCCTATATTGTAGGGGTTATTGAGGAGGATACCAGGAGTTTAGACTATAGCTCATATGTAAGATCCTTCGGTTGTAACCAAATGACCTAGGCAAGGACATGATCACCCTGGACCTTCAAGTCAGGTAAGGATCTTGGGGCCAGATTCTGGAAGGTGGGTTTAGGGTTTAGGGTTGCTGTTAAGGAGCTTAAATCAAGTTACTTTCTTTAGGAAACCCTTTTATTTACCATATACCCATATCAAGGTAACTTGCAGTAATTGAAGTTCCTGAACTGCAACTGAGTTTTTGAAGGTGGCTGGTTCTCGTCGGGCTTAGGTCTGCCCTCTTGCCTGGTTAAGCTTATACCATCGCAGGCCAAACCTTAAGCCGCAGGATGGTCTGGGCCCAATGTTGAAGCAAGAACCATCATAATAGTCATAGTTGTAGTAATAACAGTATAAGTTGTAATAATAGTAATGGTAATCTTACAAAAATAATGGTAATAGCTGCCAATACAGCTTCCTCACCCCATAGACATTTCTAGACCGCAGCTCAGCTCTATGGAATGCTAAGCCAGACCCGCGACTAATAAATCCCCTTCATAGGGATTATACAAGGGATCCGGCTATAAAGGTCCTTAAAAGGAAGGGGTTCTTAATCATGGGTCTCCATGAGCCTTGAATCCTTTGGCGTGAGTCCTAGCCCTTCTTTACGTCAGCCCCTGGATTCATCAGACGAACACTGTCTACACATCCTCGCCTTCATCCATGTACATGGTGCTTTGGAAATGTGAGGCACCATATCCCCTCATGATCACCACGTCCATATTGCACACTATAGCCCACAACCCTATTCGAATTATTCAGGTCCCTTGGAGGTCCGTGGTACCTACAAATTACTGCCTACTCGTGATTGTACTTACAACCTGTGTAGAAGCTGCTTAAGTCACCTAACATGGTTGCAATTGGTTTATGTACACCCTGTTCGGTAGATTACACTTGCTAAGCTGTAGATCCCGAAATATCTCCGTAAATGCACAGTTCTCTTTGAATTTTCGACTTGATTGTCCATTATTGACTTCTACGTACTCATAGACCTCCCAGTGCCCTCCCTGAGTTCGTGAAAGCTTTCCCGCCTGGACATCTCGGAAGGGGTGAAGACTCAGCTCCAATTACCAACTACCGCCGCCGCTGCTGTCCCCAACACCGCCGCCGCCTGCCACCGGTGCCCCGCCGCTGCCACCGCCAATGCGATCGCCACCCAGACACCAAAGACTCATAGTTGTTAGATAGGTGAACATATCCATCCCGGGCTTGGGGCTACGGGGCTTCAAACAGCCAGCATCCCATCGCTAGGAGAACCAGTGCCTGAATGCTTACACTCTGAAGCAGTTCTTCGGGGTAGATCCAGACTCTGAAGCATCTTCGTGAACTGTGGGCAAAGGGACCCGTGTTTGGGGTTTCGGGTTAAAAGCGTCTAGGGTCCCGCCTCCGTGGGCAGTGGCAGTTCTGTTCTTCTACCAAGATCCTTCGAGTAGTTCTACCCCCCCTTAAGTAGATAGAATATGGCTTCGGGTATATTACAGTAAGATCCCCCTATACCTCATATTCTGTCTACTTAAGGGGGACCATAGGCTTTAGGGTTTAGCGTTCCACCCCAGCCCCAGTACCTGCAGTCTGAAATTTGGATGTCAACCCTAGGTCTTGAGTCTCGTCCTCATTGATAGGGCTTAAGGGGGGGGGGGGGGGNNTTTCCTCCATCAACAGTATCTGCCCTCCTGGAAAAATGGAGCACTTACCAGTCCTGCGACGTTGAAAAAACTGAAAGGTGTATAGTCTCCCTTAAGTAGATAGAATATGGGTATATGTGGATCTTATTATATTATAATCAAAGCCATATTCTATCTACTTAAGGGGGACTATACTTCTATGTGAGCTGCTAATGAAGGTTCGCTTTTTTCAGGGGAGCAATCAATAAGGACGGATATGTAGTCCTATATCTGCCAATTCAAACTAAGAAAATCTTGCTCTGCGTAATTCTTCTCTTTCCCCCAGGCGCATTGTTCTTTGTGCGTGGTGTCAAATTCTGTGCTTAAGTCATGTGGTCCCGATGGTAGTTCTGTACCAGCCCCTGGCATTTGTAAGAGCTCTAGATTTGGATCTTCTGAGCCCGAAACCCTACACCTGGACCCTACTTCGTCCGACACGGTGAAGTCTTTTAAATTTCAAATTCTTAGTATATTGGTTAGTAGTTAGTAGGGAAACAGTGAATACAATCCCTGTACTATCCCTTGTGTATGTATTCCCTTATTCCCTGCCCTATACACTCAATCCTGAACTCTATACTATCTTCCTTTTTGAGTCCCTACTGGAGCCCAGAAAAAATCAACATACCTGCAACCAAAAGAGCCAAG